CCCCCGCCCCGCCCCGCCCGCGCTCCTGCTCTGCTCGCGGTCCCGCCCTGGGTCGGCTGGCTCCCTCCCAGCAGGTGGAGCCGGGCGGTGCACGGGGCAGGCCCTGGAGAGCCTGAACTGCGCCCAGGTGGGACTGGGCGCCCCGCTGCAAGGGTGGGCTCCATCAGGCCTGCCCGACGTAGAAGCTCGTTCACTTGCCGGACACCTGGGACCCAACTCTGCCCCCAGGGAAAGGAAACCGCAATCCCAGGCCAGGGCCTGGCGGCTGCACCCCTGAAACCACATCAGCAAGCCGTGGGTGCCGCGGTGCTCAAACTACCTGCCGCGAGCACAGAGCAGACTCCCACCCCAGCTCAGGTGGGACCCGCTCCCTGCATCTCCGGGCAGGTGCAGGTGGGGTGCAGCCGGTCCGGGTCCAGGCGGAGCCAGGTGCGCTCGCTCAGTAAGGCTTGACTTCCTCATCGAGGCAAGACCAACCCCAGTGCAACAATCGGAATACGTTGTACGATGGGACAGGCTTATTCGTCAAGCTGGGAAGTGGGACCCATGCTCGCTAATTACCTGATTCGTTATGCTCCATAACTACAAATGAGTGTAGATGGTAGCAGAAATACTGTCACCTCTACAGACTTGTTTTAAAACTGCATGTATACAGCAAACATATTGGGTTTTTTAATTGCAAAATATTACGTGAGGATAAATGTTTTTGGTTACATGGATCGCTCTTGTAATGCTTGAGTCAGAGTTAAAAGTGTGCCCCTCACCCAAATAGCATTCGTTGCACCTGTTAGGTAGGTTTTCGCCCATCACGTCCTTTCTCCTCCCCCCTGCTTGATTTACATTGAGTTTTGCTTCCCTCTGTGCACGTGTGCTCAGCGGTTCGTTCCAATTTAATAGTGAGCACATGCGGTGTTTGTTTTTCCATTCTTTAGATACTTCACTTAGGAGAATGGTCTCCAGTTCCATCCAGATTGTTGCAAAAGGCATTAATTCATCCTTCTTAATGGCTGAGTAGTACTCCATGGTATACATATATCACATTTTATTAATCCACTCAGGAATAGATGGGCACATGGGTTGATTCCACATCTTTGCAATTGTGAATTATGCTGCAATAAACATTCGAGTGCAGGTGTCTTTTTGATAAAATGATTTCTTTTCCTTTGGGTAAGATACCTAGGAGTGGGATTGCTGGATCGAATGGCAGGTCTTCTTTTAGTTCTTTGAAGAATCTCCATACTGTTTTCCATAGGGCTTATATTAATTTTCAGTCCCACCAACAGTATACGACTATTCCTTTCTCTCTGCATCCACACCAGCATCTTTGTTTTTGGACTTTTTAATAAAAGACTATATTGTTTTTTGTTGATACTTAAGAGTGTACACTTGGAGGTGGGGGGCTTGAGAGGACTGAAGGCTCCCCAAACCACGTCCCGAAGTCCTATAATCTCATTTGGGCAATAAAAGGAACACGCTAGATTTCCGTGTTTCCCGCACTAGCTTCAGTGTAAAACTCTACTGGAGGAACTTCTGAAAAATACAGAATCCCAGATAATCTTGACTCCATAGGTTTGGGATGGGAGTAAGGAATTTTCTTTTAACAAGTGACACCAAATTATTCTTATGTTCAGAAAAGCCTGAGAAATTTGGGGCGAGGTCTGTTATCCTGATGTCGTTCATGCTTCGAGAATTTATGAGAAAAGAAAAGACGCTTGAAGTGAGGAGTCATTTGGGGGAA